AATAGCTTAAAGTTTGTAGTCCAGGGTAGCAACTGCTGTCTTTTTTTCCTCATTGCACTGAAAATTTTAAACACAACCATGTTATGATCTCTGTGGCCAAGACAGCTACCTCCCATCACATCCCCCATGAATCCTCCTCTATTTACAAACAGCAAGTCTAGGAGGCATCTTTCCTAATTGCCTCACTGAGTACCTGTGACAAGAAGTTATCTCCTACAAACTTCAAGAATTTTCAAGACGTGTTTTTCACAGCACTGTGATATTCCTGGTTATGTCTGGGAAGTTGAAATCTCCCATAAAGACAATTGGGTCTGAATAACTTGATTTTATAATTTCACAAGCGCTTTTTATAATAGAATCAGAGAATTATGAAGGTTGGAAAAGACCTCTGAGATCATTGAGTCCAACCATTAACCCAGCACTGCCAGGTCCACTACTAAACCATGTCCCCAGGTGCCATGTCTACATGTTTTTTTGAACACCTCCTGGGATGATTATTCCACCATTTCCTTGGGAAGCCTGTTCCCATGCCTGACCGCTCTTTCAGTGAATAAATTTTTGCACGTTTCATTTTTTCCTCTCTCTCTAGGAAGAGAGGAGAACTAAATGTTTGCTGTTTGTTTCCTTTGTCCAGCAATAAGAAGTAAATAAATACTTCCTGAAGCTTCTGGGTGTCTTTTGCCTGAGGCATGTAATTTCTGCTTGTCCAGTTTGCTGCATTTTTGTAGAGGATAGCTCTAAGGACCTCTCTAAAGTGTTTTATATGAACCTCATTACAACAGTATTGAAGTCCATGGCAGTCATAAATTGAATTATCTGTACAATACTGTGATAATTAGAGAATTAATCTTTCGGAGATGAAGATCCAAAGCACAGAAAATTGTCCAGAGATAAACTATGACAGAACAGCAATTAGATTTCAGCCAGCACCCCACACAGCAAACCACCTTCTTCTGGTGTCCTTCATGATCTGACCTGGGCTAACTCTGCAACATTGGTGCACAGCAGAGGGCAAGCCAGGTATGAAACCAAAACTATTTTGTGTTATTGACCCTGGTTTCTGCTCATAACCATCATCTCAGATGACACACTCTCACGGGAGCACAGCTATCAAGCCTAGAGCTGATTTGCTTTTCCGTAGCTTTGAGTAGAAGCAAACTTAAGCCAGATGTTTCCACCTGCCTGAGCATGCGCTCTTGGCACAGGCGGATATGCCAATCGACATCTGATATTCCCATGGATTAACCTGCTAGACTCACTTGAACATTAAACCTCTACACTAAGGAGGAGCTTCAAATGAGATCTCTACTGTGTTTGTGTCAATGTATTGTGTGTGGTGAAATCAATAATTCAAGGTATAATGTGCCTTAAAATTGTTCACTTTGGGTTTTTACATGTGAGTATTTCTATACTTTATTCTATAAGCAGATCTTTCTGGGTTAAGTGTTGGGCAGTCAAGGCAGATGATATCACATTTGTCAATAAGTAAAGGTGTGTGTGTTTCTATCTTCAAGTGAAAAAGGGCAAATATTTTGCATATGAAATATTATGTGTAACAGCAGAAAAGGAATCAGCTTCAGGAAATAAACTCTTGTCCATATGGATCAAGAGAGATCATAAAGCATTTTAAAGGGCATTTTCCCTATGCTATTTTCATTATAAAATAAGAAAAGTCCTAAATAATGTTTTATTTTTCCAGATTATGGCAACTTTTAAAAATATGGTAAATGCATAAGACCAGAATACTAAGTAAACCCTTCACTGACTGTGATACACGTAAGTGAAAGTCAAAGCTTTTTATGAAGTTCCTTCAGAATCCTGGAATGCAGAATTGAAAAAGACATACCATATTCTTTAAATGCCAAAGAATTATTAATTACATGAAAATAAGGTTTTACTTAGTTGCACCTGGAAGAAAAAAGAAGTTGCATTTTGTGAACTTTTATTCTGATGAGAGGCAGTATATGAACAGGATGCCTCAGGCTTCTGTGGCTTCTCATTTTTCATCTCTGCTGCACATAGCTTTGTTTTTTTCTTGTGAGATTATAATCAAAAGGGTTGATAGAGTAGATGATTAATAAAACAAAATATTAAGGGTTTTTTCAACTGCAATAAAGATCATATTATCATCACTTTCAGTTTTCTCTTTTTCATAACAATTTGCAGTTTTGAAATGTAAGCATTCATTATGTAGACATTCCTTAATTTTTAATTTACAAAGAAGGTCTTTCAAAATCCATTGAAATTTTGGTTTGTTCGTTATAGCCCTCTTGTTTATTACACCACGATTGCTCAGGATAAAGTTAGATGATGCCTTATAATAAAACAAAGCAAAATAAAAAAATCAAACCACAACCACTTCAGTCTCTGGTAACTAGGAAAACTCGCACATCACTCTTACTGCAAACACTTTCAGCACTATTCAAGGTAGGTAAAAACGCACCATCCTCTAAATGCCTGTATTTTCTGTACCTTGCTCATAAGTTGACCTGCACACAAGGCTGTTTTGCTGATGGTCAAAGACCTGCTGCAGCAGGAGAGGCTTTGATCGTGCACTTGCTAAGTGGCAATAGTGCCTCCCGGTGGCTTCCTCTCTCATTCGTTCCTGATGCCTTTAAATTTTACAGCTGTTTTTTTGGCTGAAATAAATCATTTTGTTTCTTTTGTATTTTGAATGCTGAATGTGCACAAGCACACTCCTTTTTTTGTATACAATAAGATGTAGACACATCCATATCTGCATGTGCAGGATGCTTTTTTCTGACTTTTTTATATGATTATTCTACTACAACTGCAGTAATTGAGACTCTGACTGAAAACCCCAACACACTGTTTTATTCTTATTCTTCCATGGAAAGATTTTTTAGGAAGATCCTTAAGTCCAATTTAGGTCCAGAGCAATTCCTTTTGCAGCGCCTGAGCAATCTGATTGCTGGCAACTTCGCACCGTTTTGCAGAAATGATATAATGAGTCTGTATCCTTCAACTTAATTATGTGCATTCAGTTTTTGTGTTGTTTATGACTTTACAAGAACACACAGATCCACTTGACCTGTCTGCACAAAGCCTACTGGATGCCTCAGCCCTGGGAGAGATGACTCACAGAAAGTTGCTGTGAAAAGAAAGGCTATGGAGGCAAGCTGTATGCTTTCAAACAATGGTGTAAAATGAGTTGAGGTAGATATGCCTTTTTTTCCTTATATTTTATTCCATTATATGCGAATTACAGAGCCTAATTAAATGTCTGTTTTACTGACTGTACAACAATTCCCCTTTTTTGAAGGTGAAATAAAATGAGACTTATTTCTTACTTTTTATAATAATACATTTTTTATGTTAATATTTTAGTTTTCTGTTAAAATGACAGTGTATTCAGTTTTGGGGTTGCTTTGTGGGGTTTGGGGTTTTTTTTCCTCACCTTAGTACTGTACTTAGGATCTTATATGACCATGGGAAAGTAGCTGCTTGGACACTCCAGGCCCTGCAAAAGTTACAGGCAACATTTTCCTTTTAAATATTTACCGATTTTAAGTAACCATTTTAAGCATGGAAGTCTAAAATACATGGCTGTCATGCATCCATACATTCTTGACTGCATCTTCTTTTTCTGAGTGGAATTCTGTCCAGAAAAACAAACAAAAAAAAAGAATTGCAGAGGTGAGTAGAGATGTAGGTTGGTCAGCGTGTCTCAGGTTGGGTTTCAGAAACTGAAGAGCCCCAAATTGCTGGTGGCTTTTGTCTCTTTGACTCATGACATCAACTGGTAATTATGGATTTAGACTTACCTTTAAAGACAGGAAACAAATGTGAGGTAGTGTGAATCTGTATCAGCAGCAGTTTCAGAGGCAGATGAGAGTCACCGACATAGGAATGTAGGAATTCTGAACCATTTGCAGTGTTTTGGCCTCACAGAGAGTGCAGATGTCAATTTGCTGAAGCTGTGGGGTAGTTCAACTGGATACAGGGTCATTCTGACCTCTCTATGTCAATAGGTGTGCATGCATCTATACTGTGCGATAAAGGTGTGTTAATACTGCCATGGGAGAACTATTTGTTGTGTTTTCTTTCACTGGAACAGTCCCCAGTGGCAGCTTTGCCATGGTGTTAAATACCTATTGTTATATAATGATATTTATTTCGTGTTCTTAAATGGATTAAGGACATAAAGCTATCAGAGAGTGTCCAAAGGAGGTGTACAAAGACAGTGCAGAGCCTTGAGGGGAAGCCATACAAGCAGTGACTGAAGTCACTTGGTCTGTTCAGCCAGGAGGAGGCTGAGGGGAGACCTCAGTCCACAACTTCCTTGTGAGGACCAGTGGAGGGGCAGGTGACCAGTGATAGGACCCAGGAATGTCCTGAAGTTGTGTCAGGGAAGATTTAGGCTGGATATCAGGAAAAGGTTTTCCCCCAGAGGGTGGTTGAGCAATGGAACAGGCTCCCAAGTGCAGTGGTCACAGCACCAAGCCTGACAGAGTTCAAGAAGTGTTTGGACAATACTCGCAGGCACATGGTGAGACTGTTGGGGTGGTCCTGTGCAGGCCCAGGAGTTGGAATCAATGATCCTTGTGGGTTCCTTCCAACTCAGGATATTCTATAATTCTCTGATATGAGTTCCTGCCTCAGGGTCTGATTTTTACCTGTGTTCTGTGTTCGGCATGCGCCATGTTTGGGCAATGGTTGTGTGAAACATGACAATTAAACCTGGTTTTTCCAAGTCCACATTGCTGAAAAAGAGGAAGAGAGAGTCAAGTTTGTCTTAAGCCAGGCAATCCAAGCAATTAGACCCCAAATTGAATCCAACAAGCCAGCTTGGATGGGGCTCTAAGCAATCTGATATAGTGGGTGGCATCCCGGCCTATGACAGAGGGGTTGGAATGAGGTGATCTTTAAGGTCCCTTCTAACCCAAACCATTCAATAATTCTATGATTCTGTGAAGTTTTTATGTGCTATTGAAGCAATATTTACCTCAAAAAACCCAACTTTCATGTCCACCAGTCTCTTTCTACATCTTTATTTCTGTGGTTTCCCGTTGCCTCATTTGCTGTCATAGGTTTGCTCGTGTTTGTACTCCACAAGGAGATTTCCTTGCTAGTCGAGTTCCTTGTGAGAGCAGAGGCAATCCTTGTCATGCAGCAGCTTTTACTTTGTTAGACACTTTGTCTCTCTTGCACATTCAATTCACTAGTGCCCTGCAGAAAAGAACATATTGCTTGACATAATAGCGCTGTTTAATAAGTGGTTAAATCTTTCTATGTTCCTGATATCTTGGCTTTGAGCAAGATGGAAGGAGGATATTAAAAGCTTTCAGTTACAGATGTGCGCTGGAAGGACAATCTTGATACTGTTCTTTGGTAGCACATAAAGGTTAAGTGTAAGAAGGATGTTATGCATTTGTGATTACATAGGAAAGCATTCTATATCTGCTAATAATCTTTCTCAGGCATACCTGTCTAACTTTTCAGTTTTGGCAAGATCTTAATTTAGAGCAAATTACTTTTTTTATTGCAGAAGTGGTCAGTACAGGTAAATTATGAGTTTTCCCCCTTTTTACTTTAGAACATCTGAGCCTCCAAGGCAGTAATTGTCTGCAACCCTCTTCTCCTGGCTCAAAAGCTCTGTAGAATTACTGTTATCAGTTTTCTGTCCTGTGCCAGTATATTTGAACAGCAGGGATGCTGCAGCCCAGAATCCAGGGCTGATAATGGTTCTGCTGCACGTTCCTGGTGTTTATGACATGTTGTCTGGAGCACAGCAGTACTATGGGAAGCGTCTTGGGTTAAGAAAGATACATGCTGTAACTGAAGCAATATTCTGTTGAAGAGACTGCTGTAAGTAAGAATCTTGAGTGCTGAAAGTTTTTCTTTCTAAACAGTTCCAAATTAATTTATGACACTGAGATGGTGTGTGAGTGCTTGCTATGGCTTTCAGGGGGCTGTTTGCTCACATGATTTAGTCTGGATGTTATTTTCTTTATCTGCTGCTCCATGTGCCTGTATTCTTTTTGCAAATGACAGCTCTGTGCAAAAGTGCCCACATGGCAAGAAGAGAATCCAACTGCTGATGGCAAGAGCAGACACTATATCGGAACACTCTCAAGGTGCTGATCCCAGAGCTGTCATTTTCTGGAGGAAAAAATGTCCGGTGCAGACAGGCATGAGGCAGACAGGCATTGTGTACAGAGGATAATGATGGAGAGGGATCCAGGGGAATGGGCAGTACCTGCAGTGAGAAAGAAAACATTTAACAAGGCAATCCAGCTTAGAGACAACAAGAAAACACAGCAACAGAAAAAGGCAGGGATCAGAGCGTAAAGAAGCATCTTCAGAAGAGCAAAGAGAGAGGGAAAACAGATGCAGTATCACTTCTTACACAAAAAGAGGGAAGCGAATTCAATACTACATTGAAGACTTATCTATGTATGCATTATATGTGTAGGTATTTACTTACACATACGGAGACATGTACTTGTATAAAAAATTCACACATTTTCTTAATACTGTCTGTATAAACATCTGCTGCTGGTATAAAATTATTCTTGTAGTGCATAGTTTGAAAAAGCTTATGAACCCCTTTGGTATGAGAGATAAGAGAGCTTCTCTACTTCTCAGCAGAGGGAATATTCCATAGCATTTCAATACCATTATCTTATTCTAGTTCCTCTGTAATTCTGTGAAGTGGATGTAGAGACTTGGATAATTCAAGTGTATGAGTTAATAAATTACACTTAGAGTATATCCAGTTACCATAATGGCTCTTAAATAATTAAACAAAGCAATCTTAAATAGGATCCTGCTACACTGCACTAACTAGAAAGGTGTCATCAGAGTTACTAAAAACCTATCCCTTAAGGTCCCATTCCACTGTGTACATACAGTACAATTAGTGTCTGCTTTGTGGGTCTAAAGGAATTGAGTGTAAATCAAAGGCACAGAGTGCTTGTAGGGAATCGAGCAGAATTTAATGATGAAAATTATGTGGGTTATGGAAAATGTGAATGATGAGGATGTATCAGATGAACCACCAAGCCTTGCTGCAACTCAACTGACCTGCCTGTAGGATGGCTGTAGCCCTCTTCCAGGTCACAACAGGAATTAATTCTTATAAAGTTCTTTCACACTCTTCAAAGAGGACACTACTTTTTAAATCAACACCTGGAATAAAAATGTTATTGGAAGACAGTGATGTATATCGACCATGCTTCAATCAGGCCTTGAAGTCCTGATGAAAGCAGAAAGCAATGCTCTTGTAATTAGTTCCACTAACATCTGACAATTTATTCACATAGGTGAAGGATACAAGATTAGACCTTTGTTAGGACTCTTGCAGGAGATAAATTTTTTCTGGATAGCTATGAGCTAACAATGGGCTGTTTGATCTTTTGTGGAGACCTAAACAAAAATTTAAAAAAGTACCCAAAAGCCTAAACAAAAGGAAAAAGAATATTTAAAAATAATATTCTCATCAAATTCTCATGCACTTAATAAAAATGAATAGTGATACAAGCATAGTTCTTTTCCATGGAAAGCTAGAGATACTGTCTGAAAACTGAGTAAGGGATATGTTAAGTATATGTTATAGGGAATATATATGTAAGGGAGTATATACGTAAGGTATATGTATATGCTATAAAGCATATTGACAAAAGATTCTCTGGAAGAACTTTACTCAAAGGCTTTTTACTGTCTGTGGTATTTCAGATGTTCTCACAGCAGGTGGACCATATATTGTGTTACTTTCTTTGAGAAATTGCAGGAAGGCAACTGGTGAAATACAAGGTGTCATCCAACAGTTGTTTCACATACAGTAAAGAAGATCAGTAATGCAGGTTTCTATGATTTATCAATAAAGATCCAAATCACATATTGGAGTTGCCTCTAGACAACTCACTCAATGCTCTTTTAATAGTAATAACTAAGATTTATATAGTTTCTCTCATCCCTCAAAGATCCCAAAGCATTTTATGAACTCCTTTGAACACTCTTTTTGAGAGGAAATGCAAGGCCTATGAAGAAATTTTTGGGCAAGAAACTACATATTGTTTGGCAATATATGCAATACCATCATACACCAGTTTAGAAGAGGAAGAGAAAGACAAAGGTGTCAAAACAGAATGACAGATAGTATAATTAGATAAATTATAAATAAAATCAATTTATCCAAGTACCCTGGTACTGGAATCCAGCCATTATACTGCAGGATTTCACTTTCCTTCAGAGAGAAGTTTTTATTTCTTAACATATAATGTGAAATCAATCCAACTCTGAGTGTTGAAATACTTTTCTATGTGTGCAGCTGCAATGAGAATGTATTTTTGTCACTGGTAGTTACACTGTCTTAGTATCCAAAATAAATCAGGTGCTGTTCAGCTGCTGTAGATATAGTTCTGGTGCTGAAAAAAAATTACGGGACAAGAAAAAAAGAAAGTGAGGGATACACAAGAAATTACGAGAGGTGATAATGTTTTTCTCCTTCTTCACACTTAGGATTTGTCTTGATCATCAAGCCTGATTTGCCATTCTGGTTTTCAAAAGAAACCCAGCTTCCCTACTTCATATCAATGGGGAGGTTGTTCTCACCTTCATGTCAATACCTGGGGCACAAGACCTGTGCTTCTACAGGCAGACTGGGTCCAAATCTGATTTAACTTGCATACCATGTAAATGCAGTATAAAGCAGGACAGACTTTGACATGCTGGTTTGTTTGTTTGTTTTAATAAACACTGTGAATGTGTAGGAGCAGGCTGTGATATTTTTTAATTCCTTCCCTTGCCCTTTTGAGTTTTCGGAAGCCCTGGAGAGGGTGCCTCTGGGAATTATTTATTTACAGAAAAGGGAAGAGAAGTTTATTGAGTAGTGAAAATATCATCTTGTTTTGTTGCTGTATTTTCCACTTTTATTCTGAGAGATTAACCTGTACAAGAAAAGCACTTTAATGGAATACAATTGCTCTTTGAAGAGGGCCTGAAGAGATATCTATGCAGTATTTATATGCTGTCTCAATTACCACTGCAAAATAGTTTGATGATTCAGCAAGGGACCCTAACAGTATCTTCAATAATTCTTTCCCGTTTAGATCTCTTAAGAACCAATTTTATACTGTTGCTTGGTCTTTTATTGCCTTTAAGTCACACATTTCAGTACAGAAGGTAGGCTCGTAATCTTCTGTGAGCTGGAAATGCAGATGAACCTGGCAACAAGGCTAAGCTGAATGGAAAACCAAGAGTTTGTAACAATGCAGGCTGCTCTGTACAAGGTATTTTGAGGTAAACATGCCTTGTTTCTAGTTACATTAAAAAAAAAGGTGCTGGGGATATACCCGGCACAAGAACACACAAAACATTCTCAACAGAAATGTGAGGCAGCAAATGAAATACTTTTCTTTAAGTTGTTTGTGTAGTTACTGTGCAAAGCAAAGGTATAAATTTTCATTGTCTCCAAAGGCAAAATCCTGAGAGTTAAGACAAGTGAAGAAACCTAAGAGCAGCAGTTGGAAAGAACTGGTGCACAGCCCTGTGTGGGAGGGGCTGTAAAGGAGAATATTCTCTACCAGTATCAGGGAGCCCATCAGGGGAGTTGGCACAAGCGTCACTTGCTCAGGAGCACACGACAAGCTGTTGTTGGGAGTATTGTGACAAGTTATATGGAGCACCAAGGGATTCTCCAGACTTTATCAAGAGTGAGAGAATCATTCCCACCGCCATAAAAGTATCTTGGCAGGCAAAGGCTATAAATGTAATAAAAGAGGGGGGTTGGGGGGAAATGTTGTCTGTGCCCATAAAAGAGGACAGTGATTGTGTAGTTTTAGTGCTTCATAAAATCCTTCAAGTTAGCAGGAAGGGAAGAAACTGGGTGAAAAGATGAGTACAAAGCAACCCATGACATTTTTTCTGGAAACTGGGAAGGTGGATGAGGGAAAACACTGTTGGATCCCTAGTCTGATTTTATACCTTTCTGTAAACAGCAGCTATTGGCCTCTATTGCAGACAGGACTCAGCAAGCTGGACCTGCTCTCTAATTCAGTATGGATATGTTTTAAATTTCTAACTAAAATAAAAGGTAATTGTAAGACTGAGAGAAGCAAAATAATTTCATTTAAGTACCTGAAGTGTTTTTACACATTCTTAGACAAAGAACCGTACAAAGGGCAGTGTGGAAGCTGGGAATTAGGTGACAACTAATTTCTGGATTTTTTTCTCTTTTTTCCTCTGGAAAGCCATGGCAAAAAGTGAACAAGCAACACAGCTGCTTTTCTTGATAGCATTCCATGGTTGTCCAACCTGATTTTGCATAAAAACCTTCTTATTACTGGTTTCTTTTCTGACCTAAATGATCACATTCATAGCTAGCAAATGACTGATATAAATTAGCTCACTAGCAATTGGTAGAAAAACTCTTGTTCTGTCAGTTCATAAGAAAAATTTTCTGGCAGTCCTTTACTTTTGCCTTATTTTCTTGAAGACATCTTTGAAACTGAATGCTTAAGTTCAATATATCTTGTATACTAACTGAGGCAGTGCTGAAAGATTTTTGGTTTACCCTAATTTTTTCTGCTTCTGTGAGATAGGACATGGGTAAGGATTCAAACTTGAAAACACATGCCACTGCAACAGGAGATTTCAGTTGTTTAGATATAGCAGTTAATGAGAGCTGTGATAGCTCTCTGGAGATACATAAAAGACTACTAATGACTGGTTCATTTATAAGTGATGAAGATCTCTCAAGATCAAAATCCTTCCAAAAATGCAATAAATAGAGAGCTGTGAACTTGTAGTGGTCTTGACAGTGGTACACTGTCATTGTCACCCCAGTGCTGAGATTTCTTTAATGTTCAACTTTTAATGGAACTATTTTTCATTTGTAACATCTTGCAAGACATTTAATTTAGCTTTCTTCTGCTTTGTATCTCTGCTTTGCAGAGCCCAGTGGTTTATGGCTGCCATATGTCAATGTTTTCTCAGTTACATCTTTTTTCTGCCTGCAACTTCAGTTTAAGTGGAGTTAGAAGATTTTGTGCAATTCTATGCAACTGCAATGCCTTCAGAGCCCTTCAGTCGGAAGAGGACTCACAGCCTCCACTCTTTGGATGGTTAGCCCATTTGGGAAATTTCAGAATTATTGTGCAAACATAGATCAGCTGGAAAACATTGGTGCAGCAGGTCTTACACTTGCTGAAACATCAGTGCAACTCTGCATTTATGCCTAGAAAATACTTCTCAGAAATACTATAGACCCCAGAGGCGAATATATGAAATTCATGCTACCCTCTCCAAAACACATGTAATCTCTAGGCACAGAAACACATTGCTATATGTGAACATTGGAATAATTTCTTTATGTATTTATCTCTTTTCAGATTTTACTCTGATTTGTATGCCAGTTCTTACTGAAGCTTTATCACTTAAGTATCAATTATAAATGCAAAATTTGATATTTTTTATGTCCAGATTTACTGAATGATTAAACTAAATCACAGAATCACAGAATATGATTCACAAGGATCATTGAGTTAAACTCCTGGACCTGCACAGGATCATCCTCAAGTGTCACATCATGTGCCTGAGAGTATCCTCCAAATGCTTCTTGAACTCTCTCAGGCTTGGTGCTGTGACAATTATTTACAGAATTGTTTTCTTCTTTTTTATTGATAAAAATACTTTATTGATTACCTGGAGCCTTGAACTTGGAGCAAAATCTAACAAATCTTACCATAAGAGTTTCTCTGAGGCACTGGGAGCTGGACATGAAGAGTAACCCCATGCTATTTGCATATTACTTTATGACTTGTGCATAAAATCTGTTCTATAAACTCAGCTTAGTTCCCTCACAGAATATTCTATGCAATCATGAGAAATAAGTCTCTGTTATTCTTTGCATGTAGCTCTCTCTTGCCCATGTGGGATGAATGGCAAGACAGCCATTAACTCCAGCAATTGACAATCAAGTCCATGATTTAAAAGTGAACTCAAATTACAATGGACAGCATCAGTGTTTCAGGAGCTGAAGAAACAGACGGTGGTTCATGACCTGAAAAGTATCAAGCATCTGTAACTTTCACTGAAGGCAAATTATAAATGCTTGGCACCTCCCAGTGCCTGTCCTGCTATTCTGAATGCAGATTGTGACTAGAGGAGAGAAAATGGCAGTTTAGCAGCAATAATTCTTTAGGAGTAAGCAATCAGAAAATTCAGCAGGATCTGAATTATGTTAAGATGGATGGATCTCGTTGTACCAAAACTAAAATTTTAATATGCCACACATGGATGAAAAGGATTATGACCACTGTGTCACTATAGAAACTATTATAGCTGTGAATAATAATGGTAATCCATTCCATTAACATGGATATTTATATAATATTGCTATCTGATAATGGATAGATCAGTAAGGGATTGTAATTACCGCTATTGATTAGCTCTAAATTATGCATATTTATGACTAATGCTGAAATAATATGTTTTCAAAATCCTCTCTTCCATTTTCACTTACTACTTCTTTTTCCCATTCAGCTCTCCAATCATTCCATTAGTTTGGGAACTTGTGAGGGCACAATCACCTCTTTTCCATTAGGAATTGCCTGAGACCAACAACTACCATATTTTTTGAAAATGGAATTCCAGTCTGACTTAATCCCAATGGCACAAAAAAGGTAAGATGCTGAATTAATAATGGTCAAAACATTATTAATAACAGGACAAAAAATTATAAATAAGTTACTAAAGTGTTAAATTATCTTTTTGTAACATCTGTTTTCATGAGGTCAGTCACCAATTTGGTTTTTGCAGATTTCCACAAAGGCCTATTTTTAAAATGATGATGCAAACAATTTTCACTTATGCAACAAAATACCCATTTCTTGGGGCATTCCCAAAGTGTTTTCCACATGCCAAGTTATATCACTTTCTCTGTGTTACTCACCATCTCTGAGCAATGAAGAAGAAAATTTAACTCAGCCAGAGGGTCATTAGGAAAGTGCAGCAGAGCTCAGATCTGTTCGCTGTGGCTTGACCTGTGGTTATTTGGCATTGAGACTTTTTGCACAGTAGCCTTTTGACTCTTACTGAATTAATTCAGTGTACAACTTAAGTACTTACAAGTGGAGTTTTCTGGTGCCTGGGGTTGCATCCAGATCTCAGAGGTTTGACTCTCCTTGTGATGCAAAGGAAGGTTTAGGCAGAGAAAGAAAGTTAAGATTGTGCACTCAGAGGATGAGGTTTCATGAAAAAGCTAAACTGGGCCAGAGGTACACTTTTCTTCCTCCTCCTCCTCCTCTGTCTTTGTTCCCTCTCTTATGCTAAAAGAAAACTGCTCTAAGAAGGACAACTGAACAGTTTTCTCCTGAATTCGTGAGGTGCAAGGTCTTCCATGGATGTAAGATGCAATGAGAGCAAATAGCCATAGGTAGGTCACTCCTAATGGCCATGAGCTCTTAGTAGCTCGATCATTTCAGAGCTCAGATTGGCCTCTGTCTGTGCAGTCTGTTGAATCTGCTAGGCATTTTCAACTTAGGCTATCTTCCAGAGATAAGAAGTCTCAACAAAGGTCTTTCAGAGGGTTTCAACTAGCTGTTTGGAAGCTAGAGCCCAAAGTCCTCTCTTTAGGGAAAGCCCCCACAATCATTCTCTCAAAGAGCTCATGTGATGATGATTCACTCTTGTCTTTTTAAAGAGGCAGGAAAAGCAGTGGCAGTGTCACTGCTTTGCCTTCAAGAGAAATGGTTAGAAGCTCTTACCCACAAAATGAGACCCTGCTTCAAGGTCTTTCTCAGCCATGATGGTTTCAAAGAAGCTGCTCTTCTCTGTTCAAGCACCATCCCTGCCATCAATAGGGACAGAAATCCTCTAACCCAGCTAGTGCAGTCTGCTGCCTAAGAGGAATCTATCAAGTGATACACTGTATAAAGATGTTGGTAGTACCATCAGATATCTCTGAAAACATAAACATAATCTGCAGCTTCCAGACAGTGGTTGGTATGCTGATTCATGTGACTCTGAACAGACCAGATGGGCTCATCAAGGCACTGTGGACCTACTTTATTTACTCTTTTTACCCTGTCATGGCCCAGGTGGAAAGCAAGCATTAGGAACCTGTGTGATTAACCAGGGCAATTCTGGGTGTGCACAGTGAGTTCAAAGCCAGGAGGAGAAACCTGCTTTACCTGAGGTGCTTCAGTGGTAGGTACTGGCTGAGCTGAGCACCATTTACTCCTTCCACTTCTGTTTCACTTGGCAACACCTTTCCCCCTCTCCACCCTGACCTGGCTTGAATTCCTCTGACACTTGTCATTTAACAAGCTGTTGCTCTCCCTGGCACCTTCATTTGCTCCATTGTCCAAGGTCAAAATCTTTCTACTTAGTTATCAAAAAGCATTTGATGCACCTGGTCCAAAATGCAGGTTATTTAGAGACAATAATGTGGTACAGTTGCTATGAGAAGGAGGGGATTTAGACATGTCTTTCAAACTCTCATCCCTCTGAGAAGTGAGAGGTAAGGGGCCAATAACCCTCTTCAAGCTCTGAAATATTAAGGACAAACCTGAAATGTTTCCCTTGCAGATTTTACCTCGAAGTTGATTTATTGGTACTTAAACACTCAAGTATACTCAGTAAATAGGACCACAGATGTGCCATATTTCTGACTTTATAAGCCTCATGAATTATGGGATATGAGCCCTTTTATCCTGTGCCCTGTGTTTGAAAGTGAGTGCAGTGATCTCAGCCCTGTTTCTAGTGGTCAGGTGTCCACCCTACTTCTTGGCCTCTGCAGTCCTTTCAGATGACAGGATGACAGCTTACTTCTGGAGGCGTATTTGGAGAATAAATAGCTTTAATAACATGCTTGTCAATTCATGACAAAGAAGTTTTGGCGTTTTTTACTCCCTATGCTTTTCCTATTCCATGCAGAAGCTGGACAATTCATTACCTTTTGTAATGTAACACATTCTGCCTTCAACGGAAAAAGTCACATTCCAGCTGAGTTAGTCAATACTAGGGTTTGATGTTCTATCAGTACAAGGAAAAAGTGGCAAAGATGTTTTTAAGTCTTTGTTCCACTCTCTTAGCTCACCTGTTCACCAGTCTCTTTCCCACTTTCCTGCAAACTACAGTATAGGAGCATATACAGGAGCAAAGTATTTCCATGGGTCAAACTCTCTGCTGCCTAAGCCTTATGCAGTCACAGTAAGACAATCAATCCTGTTCCAAACAGTCCAGGACATTTTCCTTCATCTTCTTTGTAGCTTTTGACACTCTTAGAGGAAATTAAACTTATTTTTTCTTCATCAGAATCACTGAATGATTGAGGCTGGAGGGGACCTCTGGAGGTCAAGCAGGCCACCTCGAGTCGGTTGCCCAAGGACTTCGCCCAGATTGATTTTGAATATCTCCAAGGATGGAGACTGCACAACCTCACTGAGCAACCTGTGCCAGTGCTCAATTACCCTCACAGTATATTTTACCTCTTGGATCTGTCTTGTCTGGGATTTTCTCCATCTTCTATATCCATTATTTTCATAAACTGCCTTAATAACATGCACTGCTGCCTACTACAACAGGAATGCAATTTTTATGGTCTATGATGGCTATAAATTTCACCCTTTCCTAAGCATCTCTTTCTTGACATGTACGTTTTCATACGAGAAAATCACAAACTACTACTGTACTAACAAGTCAAGAGTAACCAAGACCATCATCTGCCCTGAAACTATTGGCTGGTGTACACACTCCTGAAACCGTGGCTTCCAGACCAGGGTGGCGACATCCAAAATTTCTCTTAGGAGTGATCCCTACCCTGTGCTGACTCCCCAAAATGTCTAGGGGACCACTGGTTAGCATGGACCAAAACAGCACCAGGGACCATCTGAATGATTTAACAGTGCATACAGAGAATTGAATATCCCTGTGTGGGAATGTTTCCTGGCACTGTTTAAAGTACTGTATAGACATAGCAGTAAATTCTACATAAAAGGCACATTAATGTGGCTATTAGGTAAACAGGAAGAAACCTTTGACCTTAGAAAACACTTTCTGTGCTCTCTGTCATTGGAAGTGTGGATCCTTTAGGTAGTTATGAGAAATCAGTACTTGGGTACCCAGCCTGCTGCTGCGTTTGCTGTGAGCACTGCTGGGGGATTATAGGGAAGAAGTGCCAATGCAAACCTCCTACCTAAATTTAACCTCACAGCTGAGTTAACTCGGCTGATATCAAAATAAGGCAGAATTTCAGACAAATTAAGTGGAGAGTCACAGAACAGGGAATAATTCCCCTGTTTCACACCATCTAGTTTTTTTTTCCTTCCAGAGCTTCAAAGGGAAATAAGGCATTCCTGCACACTGGGCTTTGAAGGTGAGCTGCTTCATGAAAACTCCCTGCAGTGCTGTGTTGCTGAAACCAACAATCTGAAAATGTAAGTTCAGCTTTGCTGTAACCTCTCTTTTAAGTGGCTGTAGAGGCTAAACAAAAATCAAGCAGTTTCTTGAGCTATATCTGAAAACAAAAAGCAAAACCCAAAACAAAACAATAACCTTGACAATCTGAGTTGTGTTTCCCAGCTTCTGTATTCACTTTCAGACCGTGCTTGCATTTGACTTCATGTCCCAATGCGACACAGATACTCTGTCTTTCTTCCTTTTGTCCATGAACTGGGAAGACAGTGTCCTAGAAGGGCCCAGTGGAATTCTCAGCCTGGAAGATAAGGGGCTAAGAGAAACTAGTTGAGGCCTTTGTGGTTGGACAATGATGCCTAGGGATGAACACAGCAGTCCTCCTAGGAATAGGTAGGGATAACTCCGTCTTTCATTGCTTATACAACTTTGCCATGTTTCAGTCCTTCTGTCCAACAGTGGCATCAGACTATGTTCAATGCTTACAGAAAAAATATGAGCAGATCTTTTGTTACTTGGGTTGATGGTTTTGCAATGTTTACTCGTCTGGTGTATCCATACAGACTTGATGTCACACACAGCGGTGCAAAGCAGTTGCATTTCTTTTCTGTGTAAGGTCTCATGAAATGGCATTTGTTGTATGTGTTAGTAATGAAATTATTAACTTCATGTTAGAAAAAACTATTTTGTTGACTTACAGGAATTATATAAAAATTATTTGGTATAATTCCTCACTTAGAATCATGTAGGTTGGAAAAGACCCTAAAAATCATCAATTCCAGCCATTAACCCGGCCCTGCCAAGTCCACCACTAAAACATGTCCCCAGGTGCCACGTCTACATATCTGTTAAATACCTCCAGGGATGGTGACCTCAGCACTGCCCTGGGTAGCCTGTTTCAGTACTTGTACTGCCTCAATTCACCAGTGTTGGACCTGGCTACTATTTATCTTCATTCCCCTTTTGAAAATTGCTGTGAATTCATAAAGGTTTATCCAATGTCCACTAAAGTCAATGGGATATAAAAGGTCTTTTAACAGCAAATTAATTTTTTTCTGGAGGATTAAATGGCTTTAGCTAAATGGCAAATTAAGTAATGTAAATTATCCTTAGCCTAAAGAGTTATTCTAACATTATTAGTTTTACTACAGTTTCCAGGACAAGGTCTGATCTCAATTACACTGGTGTGAATGCAGATAGCTGTTAACTTTGAGCTACTAGACTTTTTCTAAACATTTGCAAATGTTATAGATCAAAATCAGGACTCCTTGTCCTTCTTGGGATTTAAAATGCAGGTTTCCTTTGCTGATTTTCCAGCTGGTATTTTTGGTGCACTCTCCAATAGTCAAACACACTATTCTTTATTAGAGTCAGTCCTCTTTCAAGGCACATTTTTTTTCCCTTTTACCATTCTCTGCTCTTTCTTTGAAAAAGAAAAAGTGATCCAGTTGCACAGATAACTTTATCTTACTACTGATTTAAATCTTCACTTTCTTTAAGAAGCTATTAAAAAAAACCAACAAAAAACAACAAAACCAACCAAAACCTGAGCTTTTTCTCTAACTTTTATTGAAAAGGGACAAGAAAAAGATAATTTCTACCACTATGGGATAACAGTACTTCTATGTCTCTCTTCCTAATAAAATTTTGGGGAACTTTATTTTCCCTAGGTAGCCTTGTAGGTGCATAAATAACAGGGTTTATAAACAAGTGTCCCTATCCATATGGTCACCCATCTGGTGGTGAAGAATCCCAAGAGACATCAATTACTGGGAGTGCAAACATAAAGTTAGGAAAAGCTACTAAGACTGTTAGTTATACACTTTACAAAATGATAAATCCCAATATCACAATGATAATTAAGGTTTTTCTTAAGTGTCTTTCATCTTGAACAACCCTGCAGGTACTTTCCCAGGAGGAATTATTATAAAAATGATTATATGATGAATCATTGATATACAAGGGAATTAAAACTAAAATAACTTTCTGGGGACAAGTGCAGCGTCTGGGGGACAAGCACCTACATGACCCTGCTGTTAAAGACCTGCCTCCCTCTGCTTAAATTCAGAGCCTTCCCTTAGACACATGGATTTCCAGTGCAATGGAAAGGAGAACTACACTTGTGGGAATGGTGACCACTTGGGACTGCGTGCTTCTGTGTGAGTGGGTGCGTCATGTTAGAACAGCAAATCCCAGAGCCCCTTTTTGATTATTTCTTATCCAATCACCTTTCTACCTTCCATCAGACAACAGGTGAAGGAACAGGGACTTAAGATCAGCATGAACACTCTCTGCAAACATACACATGCACCTTCATCCCATATCCTTAGCTATGGCAAGGCTTGAATTTGGCAGGTTGTTTGGAGTGTGTCTGTGCTAATTGCCAGTGTGCTTTGGGAGAGCTGCTGGATATAACTTGACAGCTCTTTTTTAAACCTGTCTGCTCTTATATTTGGATTATCTTTGGATCTCATGAAAAGTACTCCTGAAAAGAAACTGGCCTGTGTAAGGAGCCACAGCAGCGGTGTTTTAAACTCTTTTAAAGATGAACTCAGAGATTTCCTTTTTTTTTTTTTCAATAACAACACCTAGGTGGCTGCACTCTGAGCATAAATTCTCCTGTCAGCTTTCTGCTAAGCGCAGCTGTTGCCCTGAGTCTCATTTTGTAGTATTGTGATTCTCTGTGTCTCATACTCAGAGTCCAGACACACAGCAAAGAGTTCTGGATTCTGCCTGAGGGGAATCAGATTCTAAATGTCATATATTGGTTTCCAGGAATAGGAGTCTCTTATTGGATGCAGCTTAGGAAGCAAAAAGTACACTTCAGGGAATGAGTATCTTTGGTGAGGAAGTATTCACATCCTTTAAATGCAGGATACTGCCACTAATAATTTCTGTCAATTTTTGTTACTTAGATAGTATTTGAATGAGATTTGAGGAAATTAACTAACTAAAAAACTCTCAACTGAATATTTTGGAATACCAAATGATTAATCTTCTAGCAAGATCTGAAAGAATTTCTGATGTTTAGAGTGTTTTGATTGGTAGTCATGGGGAAGATTTTGAAAGGTCAAGTCAGAAGAGGAATGCAGAATCAATCCAGGGAAAGATTGAAGTTTGCTATATAAGCAAGTTAAATTTACATCAAACCTAAAGGGAGGTTAACATTATTTAAATTTTCAGTGCTGAGAAACAAATGGCTGTAAAGTATACTATGCTTCCACAGTGATGCACTACACATACAATAAAGTTTAGGGAGCTCAAACAATTACTGTAGGTATGTATGGTTATTGCAAAACTTTGGATGAGAATTTTAGTTTTTGTAAGATTTTCTGGGAGCAGTGAGCTTGTGTCATCCAGATGTCTGCATTAAAAGAAGTTAGAGCAAATCACGTTTCTCCTCTGATTAGTGGTTATAAAACTGTAACGTATCATTCCAAACCCACAGTGTTCCAGAGCCTTTGAATCAAGTGTGATCACTCTATCAGCAAAAAGATATGTACTCATAGCTGTCAGAGCTGGTAACTCAGTTTGGAATATGGCAGTCACACTGTGCTTTGCACTTTATTGCCAGCAGTAACAATTCAACAACACCTCCATAACCCTATTGCCATTTGCTCATCCCTGAAGTTGCACCAAGAGAAAAATTGTCCTTATAGGGGTGGAAATTAGCATCATGTGAAGAGAGTGGAACCTCACCTGAAGACAATATGGATAAAAAAGTGACACCACCTTTATTGCCAGTAGTGATACAGAAAAAAAAGCACCTGAGCTGTGTGTATTCAGTGGGTCCAAATGCCAGAGTTGTTGGTTCTTGGGGACATGACTTTGGGAGTCAGAAACTCTGGGTGTAAGTGCACACTGGAGCAAATATGGCCCTAAAACACGTCCTCCAGACCCTTGGTTGGGATGTCTGTGTAGCAAACCTGGAAAACACCAGCTCTGGTTATTACAGTGTGGGCATTGGCTTGACTTTGTAGAGCTGGAAGTAGCAAAAGAAAAAAAAACCCTCAGATTTTAAACTGAACTCATTTGATATGAGCATCATTGTCATGCAATACTTATGGATCTCCACAGTCACTTTGAAGTGCAGAAACACAGTGTAAATAGCAATCACAGAGAATTTATAGGACTAAAATTATTTACAGAAAAATAGGTATAATGAGACTGAACAAAAAGAAACCTAGGCTTACATTGTTAGGAGGGATGAAGGGTATGGATTTGTGTCTCTGACTAAGTGGATACTTATCAACCTGAAAGACATCTAGACATAGCTCGACTGTTATGATACCCATATTTCATATTGAACTTAATGTGAATTCTCATCTAAATGTGTTACTGATTGTGATAGCACAGTTTCAATCAAGTTTTTAATTCTGATTACTTAAGTATGACTATTTCATAGTGGTTTGTAACAGTTACACGTGCAGATGGTGTTATGCACATTGTATTCCCCCCCCGAATTTACCTGAAGATGTGGGATGAGAAGTGTGGAATTCAAATCTCCAGAGAATGAAGGAGGAATTGGTACATGAAGAGAAATGCTTATGAGAAATCCAGATAGATCAATGACAAGTAGAAAGAAACTTTTGTGGGACAAGAGAAACCTACTGAGCTGGATGCTCTTTACCTGTTATTTGTGTTGACTTTTGAGATATTTGTGTTTAATAATAAAGAAGCTGTTATTGCAGTCTACTGAGGAAATGGCAAAGGAATCATGTCAGGTCTGGGGAGGAGGTGAGTAATCTTGAACAGAAACCTGCACAGTTTAGCTAGAAAGCAAGCATTTTTCTCTTCAAAGGGCTTATTTGTGGGCAAAACATCAATGTGACTCTCATAACATTGATTTTTCTCTAGGAAGCTGAGACAGTGAGGAGGATATTGGCTGATGAGTGGTAAGGACCTCAGACTACTTGAGTTTTGACATCAGTGGCCTAGTTAAAGGAGTCCAATGTGGGGACCATTTATGACCAGACATAGAAGAGCACTGGAACTGCAATTCCCTGAAGAGAAACAGAAAGGTATGTACAGAATGCAGTCTCCAAATCTGAACAAGCAACTATGAGAAGATATAAGGAGGGAGAAGTGGCCAGTTAACTCAAGTTCTTCACAGCTATAAGGGTCATGAAAACTCCTGATGCCTGGGAAGGAAGCAGGGAAATGTCTTCTCAGTTGTGTATTAATACACTTTCCCAAGTTTAGAGGGTATACTTACTGTGTCATTCTGTCCTATTTCATCCAAAAATGTTCTGTTTATTTTTAAGAATTAATGACTTAAGGATCCAAGGGCCCCCCACTGCTGACTTCTGTAATTTGTGATTTCCTACAATTTCAGCAGTGTTGGTCCATAAACTTGGATTAGTGTCTCTTGGCAACTTGGTTTCTCTGGCAATGTTACGGAACAATATGAAAAGCCTTTTTAAAATGCATTCTGCAAGTCCATTAGCCTCATGCTTACTGAATCTCCATGAAAGTGTGGCTGGATTGGTAAAACAGGATTTCCCTCAACTGGTAAAACAGGATTACCCTTGACAGTTTTATCCAATGCATTGTTTATCCATGAACAAATTGATCTTACTCTTTGTTACAGCTTCAACCATCTTGTTAGTGATACAAGCCAGACTTACTGGTGTGTCTTTCCCAGGAGGAATGTCCTAGAGGGTCTGTTATGGCTTCTACACTTGCTTTTCTACAATTGTATCCTGAACTGGTGTCACAGTCTCGATATCTGGAGATAAAAATGTCGAGAGGTGTACTGTGGAGTGTTGTCATCTGTGGAGTGACATCCTTATGTGGAAAATACTGCAGTAGATTGTTGATAAGGACAGATCCTCCATTTCCAGGATGAAGAAAGGATATGTTCACATTCTGCTGGAAAACTAACCAAAATAGTGATGGTGTCTGCTCCAAACTTCACAAGTGGTCAGCAGCACAGATTCTAGGAGAAAACTAAGCTGCCTTGGGTATCATACAGCTGAAATTGCTTTTTCTGGGTGCAAAATCTCTCTACCAGGTTGGAGAATGGCCTGAGTAGAAGTCTGTTTCATCTCCCCATGGGATCTTGCCTGTCTCATCTGAGGATTTCTACTCTTAATGGAGAACGGAAGAAAATTAACACCTTGTTTTATGTAGATTTTACTTCAGAGACATTCTTCTAAGCAAGAAAATTACTGGTTTTTTAACAAAACCCAACCTAAGAGTCCTTAAAGAGAAGCAGTTGGTTGACACTGCTGGGAAACCTGAGTGTGGGGTTAGGTTTCCTGGCCGGGAGTGGTGGGACAGACTCAGGCTCGTGAGGCCCTGCGCTGACCAACCCTGTGGGGATCCCACACTGCCTTCAGCTGGGGAACAATTTACTTCTGTGACCCCTTGACCGTTAGCGATGAAAAATAAACAACATTCAGCTCCTATAAGTAAAAAAGCAGAGGCATCTGTGAAAAGTTTAGGACAGTGCGTCCAGTTTTCCACAGTCCAGTGCAAGAAAGACATCAGCAAGTGGGAAGGCATTAGGTGGAGGGCCACCGAGATGGTCCATCTGGAGACTCTGCTCAGCCAGCAAGGCTGTGCCATCTCCACCCTTGGAGGTTTTCAAGACACAATTGGATAAATCCCAGCGCAATCTGGACTGACACCATAACTGACACTGCTGGAAGATGGTCCATAGACATCCCAAGGTCTTTACCCCAGACAAATTATTCCAGGTTTCTATAATTCTACTTTATTATTAGCTGTAAATTTTAATAATAAGACCAACTAAGAATAGGTCTGTGCTAAACAGAAAACAACACAAATTCAGCATTGTAGACAATTGCTTTGATTAACTTCTTTATTTCTTGACATCTATTTAGTTTCTTTGATGGAATATTACATTTCTCAACTATGACATTTCAGTTTCAGTTGTAACAACGCGTGACAAGAATGGTGTCTAGCTCTTCAAAAATTAAGGGAAAGTGTAAATTTCTTCATTGATAATTTTAACAATAACTTTTCTTCCTCAAAACCTTCTGTTCTGGACCTTTTCATAGAATATTCTTCAAAAGGTATTGCTTTTATATTGCCTGATGTATTGTTTCATTCTTCTGAAAAGTGATATTTATTTAACAGGCCAAACCCACAGATTTTATATATGATATACACAGTCAGACAAGTCTTTAACAGCATAAATCAATGTGACTTTGAAATCCACGGGGGTATGTTAATATTTCAGAAACTGGTGTGACCATTTCATATGATCTCTGCATATCTATGTAAGGCCTATCTTGGTCACATACAAAATCTCATTTAAGGCCTCATTTCACTTAGGTATTTTAATAGTTGCCAAAATTTGAGCGTGTCATTCAGTTGATTGCTAAAGGATTCATTGCATATTTAAGCACCCTGCTGAATCATGGTAAGGAAAATAAGTGAGGGATATAAAGGATAATTTTAAATAATGGAATATGCCTACCAGCATACTGGACTACTCTGAAATGTATATGCACCTTTCCCCCCCCCCCAGAAAAAACAAAGAGAAAAGGAAAAAAGTGTTACTTCTCTGCAGGGTCCCTGGTGACAGATTTTTAAAGTCAGTAAATTCCTTTGCTGTTTGCTTTGCAGTGCAGTACCTTCACTTTTCAGCTGCTTTCCCTGTAACACAGACCTGTTCTTTGTCACTTGACCTCTGTTTCTCCCTTTACAAACTGCTCTTTTTCAAAAAGCCTTTCTGCTCAAAAGATTGTCAAGTGCTGTCGTTTCTATTTTCAGCTTGCAGTTAAAAGTTCTTTGTTATTTTCACAATCCTCCCTTCTTGTGACTTTTACACTACACAAAGGCTATCTAACTCCTAGCACAAGAATCCTGGCAAAAATGCTCATCAAATTAGGCCAATTGAATGTAAGAGCAAATCCTATCATGTCTTAGATTGCATCTGGAGTAATATGCTTGAGGAACTGAGAAGGAAAATTATACAAGAGATGCTCAAACAATAAGCACGGGAAAGTTTTTTTATAGCAGTAAAATATTGTCCTTCCACAGTTGCTGTGGCACAGTCCAGTGTTCTAATTAAAAGAGCACCAAAGGAAGACTTCAGTGTGGTTTAGCACCACCATCAGTAGATAAATGTGGAGCCACTTTGAGTGGAGAGAGATATAGTTCAATATATGGCAAATATGACTTTAGAGGAGTAGGCACACATGTACAAACAGATGAACCAACCCTGAATGCATTACATTACTCTGTAGGGTATTGTTCCTGTTTGAAATGGCTGACAAATTATTAATAGCTTTTGTATCCCTGAAAATGAATCCATCGTGCTGGACCTCTGTGTCCAGAAGCTTCACCAGTGCCCAGTGAGTCTTCTTCAGTCATCATTTGGGTTTTACTCAATGGAGAGAATGGCAATTGTCCAAAAAATTTTGCTTTGTCAAAACTTCACACTCCGGATGTTTTCGTTTCAGCTGTTAAAGGACTATACTAAATTTATAGCTCATCCAACTTATATTTGTTACGTTTTCTCTTTTCAACCACGCACTTCAATAAACAGGATACGAAGTTGCCAACTGGTTCCCTATGACTCATCTTCCTTTCAAGCTGCTCTTTAGAATACACAGGATGTGGAAATCCTCAAAATCTTTTTTCTAACCTAGGTTTGTTATGTGTTATAAAAGATGGCGTGAGCCAGTAACTGTGACGTGGATGGGAGTTTAGAAGCTCTGGATCCAATGCTTGGTTGTTCACTAGAATCCGCTAAAAGCCTTTGAGCCTTTTTGTTTCTCTCCACCTTAGCTCCACCTCAGGAATGCACAATAGTTAACCTTTTCTTCTCCTCTTCCATTATGCTTTTTACTCTTACTGCTTTATTTGTCAGTAAATCTATAGAACAGCTGAAGCGATGAGCTCCAGTCTTCACTGCCTCACTCATCCTGGATCAAATCACACACCAAATGATGACAATATTGTATTATTACTTGATTTTTATACAATGAGAAAAATATGTGAGAAAACTAAGCCCTAATTTATCCCTTGAATCCAGACCACACTTTTGAGACTATGCTTTCAACAGAACTGTTTTTTATATTATTCTGTCACCTCTTGACTACCATTTTTATCTTCTGACATTTCTGTGATACCAGCACTTCACCCACAAAGTGGGGAAAAATGTTTACTCTGTCTGCTGCATCATGCTTCCAGTTACAGCAGATGAGTTTCTATCACTTTTCCTTTCAGGGATGTGTAAGAGCAGATTCAAATTAGGATAAAGGCTCAGCTCAGCTCTCTGCTGAACAAATTGCTCTGCTTGTGGACAATGGTAGCAACTTGTGAATACACGTAAGAATAAAATCAGTATTAAGATTACAAGATTTAGGAACACTGAAGTTGTCTTTTTCTTCTGCTGGAACATATGTCCGAATCTAATGGTTCCATTTATTAATATGGCTGTAATAAGATCAGTGAGGAAGCTCAATGACTATTTAGTTGCAGGATAAAGTGATTGGAAAAGGTTCATTTTCTTTCCCTTATTATTGTTGCAAAGGAGGTTGAAGAAATTTTTTCTGAAATTGTGTCCAAAAAAAAAACTCATAGGGAAAATATTTTGGGTTTACAATATTGGGGACTTGGAGTTTTGGGAAAACTATTTTGAAAAATGCATTTGTAATTTTTTATTTTATTATTTTGTGGTGTTTCTGTCCTTATTTCGATGTTATTTTAAAATAAATGAGATAAAACAACCAACTACATTTATGACAGTGTCATTGCTACAACTGGCTAACTACTTTCCTGGGGTGGTGGTGGGGTAAAAAGGAGTGTTTACAATCTGTAGTGGTCCCATAACTTCAGACTTACTAGAATATATTGAACAGAAGAAGTGTCCCCTGTATCCTGTTACACCGAAACTAACTGATGCTTTGTAAATTGGAGGTACTGAGACTTATGATGTAAACCTACTCCAAAACATAGACGTTTCTAAAAGCAAACATTTGGACTTTTGACTTGAATCAGAAGTTACAGAGTAAACTTCAGTCACATAAATGTGCTCATTAACTAAATCTTACTGCTTCAGTCTCCTGAATGTGGGACACTTGAACTCAGTGGGTGTTTTGAAAGCCAATGAACTGTCTTATATGGGGCTTCATAACTAGAGGTGATGCTTCTGGAGGAGATTCATGTCTGCTGGAGAAAGATTATTCCCCTGTTTAGAGAGAATTATAAACTTACCAAATGAGACATCTGGCCATTCACCTTCTTGGCAAAAGCCTCTGTAATTGATTGACGGCTCATAGTCCAGCACAAACACAAGGGTCTGCCAGAGCTGTAAATCCCTCTGTTGTCTGTACATCCAGATTAAAACCTCAGTGCTGTTCCTACAGTCCATGTGCTAATAGCAGGCTCAGTGCATTGGCAGGAACAGCAAATGGACTGATACAAACTAAATTTGCTTAACTAAATTAAATGCATAACAACGCTAAAAGAAAGGATTTCAGGGCCTTCAGAAAAGGTAAAGCAGGGGGGGAAAAGTATAGACTTGTTTCCCAGCAGGAAAAATAAGACAAAATTTAAAGAGAGACATCAGGAAAGAAAAAATCTTTTAAATATAATGTGCATATGCACTGAATGCTTTGTGTTTTTAACACATAATCTGGATTTGTTGTTGCTTGGAGGGTGGGCAGGGATAAATCAAAGAAGGATCTGTGCTAGATGAAAATAGAAAGCTTTCAAAGATTTAACCATGTGGTA